AACCATATACAGATATAATCATGTCATATACAATGTAATTGATTCTAGAACTTTATGCCAGTTATATGTTATTTTATAAAGAACCATAAATATATCGATTATCTATTTTAAAATGTAAAACAACTTTATTGTAACAATAGATTTAGAATAGCCAACATGTCAATTCTGTTAAAACACATGATTAAACTTTTAAATGAAGCCACTCAAATAAAACTGAGTAATAAACGTAATTTAGGTCACACAAAACGTCTAAGTGTACATGTATGTGTATTTAAAATGAATCTCCTTTACCAGACACTATTTGAGGAGATGTGATACAGGTAGGAATTGACCACGAAGGACGGAACAGAACAATACATTTACTCATTATTTTGGCCTTTGTTTATCCATTTTATCGGAGGGAATGCATGTAAATAAAGGAACAGCCATTGTATATTGGCCGGTTATTTTTTGTATATAATGATAAAATCACTAGTCTTGTTAGAACGATGCATACTCATCCTTTTTCTCACAAATATATTTCCGTTGAGAGAAACAAGGTATATCATTCCACTGACCACCAGTATCTGGAGCTATATTGACACAATTTTCTTCCCCTTTATTGTTGTTTGGTTCCCCGGGATACCAGTTCTGATACCCTGTTGATGTTAAGTGGCGGTTGCTTCCATACCAAAGCCAAACTGTCTCCTCCTGTATATCGCTTAGTCCGATCCAGAAATTTGCTAATGCGTGCAAACATGGAAAAAATGAGTTATTTCTGTTATTAACAAAACAACTGAACCACTCTAAAACATTATATATAATTTATAAGAATTGTGTATTTAATGAATGAATATTATCTAGGTATAAGCAGTATTAGACAAACGAAATAATTTGATCAACTTGTATTCTATAAATGAATGTATTCTGATACTATTATATATTTCCATTACAATATTTGTAAGTGTTAATTATTTTTGTCTTTGAATATGAATCATAAAAAAATAACTGGATTAAAAACAAAAATGAGTACTCTTCGTAATTTTATGGTGAAAAAAAAAGATGATGAAAAATGCGGGGAATCATTGCCTAATCGCAGCAAGTGATTTTCTTGTAAGGAAATGTGTCATTCGGTTTTCTTATATAATTCATGTACGTTTAATAACAAGGACACTCCAGATATGCAAGCATTCAAGAAGAAAACAAATTCTTCTTACCATTTAACACCTTAACTTTGGCGAAGAGAAAATCATTTTCCGCAGCGGTCTCGATCTCTACTAAATCTCCACCCATATGCTGACATGATATCTGTAAAACAAACTCAAATAGATAAATAGATAAAAAATGACATAAATAACTAAATCAAATCCTTTTTTTTTTTCGTATGCTTAACTCAGAATGCTACGGAGAATGCAAAAGGAAAAAATGTTGACAATGTAACAGAAAAACATATGGAACAGAGAAGGATTGAAAAATGTTACTAATAAACAAACGTATAGCAATTCATTTTGTACTTCATTTAAAAAAAACAAGTTTCAAATGATATGTTGCCGCCGCAAACCGTCGTTCCGTAACTTCATTCAATTCGTTTCATTTTTCATACTTATCAGCTCAAGGTCTGTATTGAGCTCTGTGACTTTTGTTTTGTTTTGTTTTGGATATATTTTTGTGGATAATAAATGCCGCAGAGGAAGACTGAAATGCCGAAATTTACGGCGAATTTATATAAACGTTTTTATTATATATAGGGATTTTATCTATATAATATACATAACAACTCGGAGGTAACTTGTACAACAATATTTCTGTGGAAATAAATTTTGAACGAATCATAATGCAAGTTCAATACAAATAACTTCCAAAGCATTTTTAGTGTCCAAATATATCGTGCAGAATAATGTTTTATTTTTAATTTGCGCATTCTATATAAAGGTCATACGTTTTGCATGCACGGCAGTCAGTAAAAAGTGCTTCGCAGAAAACACTTATATAATTTTGTCGTAAACGGATTTTACAATTGACGGACGTACGCATGCGCATTCCTGTACAATACAGGAAATACATAGGATGGTCACGTACAAAAAATTAAGACAAAATGTATTTGTGGCAATAAAAATACAAACGCTAGCCAGGAGCATTGGCTCAGTGTCATGACTGAAATGGTAACATGAAGATTCATGGTGAGTCCAACCATCCCGACAGATGCCATCTGCAATAAATAGATTTGAAATACAGATTTGAAACTATAATTCTTACCTTATTGTGTTACTTAATTAAAAAAAGGATGCACAATCCTTATAACTTACACTGACAGGAACACAGTCACAATGGGGTCATTTAGGCGTTTCTATAGAGTCAAATATATTACGTCAACATATTATGTTTAGAATTATTTTTTATAAAACTGCTTAACTTGTATATCTAGATGAACTTAATGTTGCCATGTAAATCTAAATAATATTTCATTTTCTTGTTGTTAATTTTTTAAAATTCTTTTTAAATCATCATTCCAATATTTTACACCAGGACATTTTACGTCTTTATAACTATTTTAACAACGTTTGAATTGTTAACCGTAATCAAATTTCCTTGAACGTATTTCCTTAACTTGAAATTAATGCATCCTATCAATATGCCTGGAACTAATTAGAATCATAAAGAAAAGTGAAAAGTCAAAATTGAAATTCCATTCCTTTAAAATAGATGAAAATATTTGATGTTTATCAAGGCATGATTAAAGACGGTAGTGGTAAAGCACATTCTATCGCCACCTATTCAACAAATACTTTTCAAACGACAAAATAATCATTTACCTGCTCTTGACGACGGGATTACCAACACAAAAACAAGTTTTAAAATTATAAACAAATACATTGCAATCATTAATTCATATAGTTCTGCTGTAAATGACAATAGATAAAGCATAGAATAAGACAAACCGTGGTAATAATTTGTTAGATAAGAAATTGTGCATAATTTTGACCGATAAAGTTATCAAGTTTGAACTTCTTATCAGACAATGCATGCCTTTATCTACAACTTTCTGATATACACATCTCATTATCAAGCTTAACGACCAATTATGCCTAAAAAAACAACAATCTTTATTTCTCAAAGGCATTCTATTTTTGGTATCTTGTTACAGTTTAAAATATTACTTATTTGCTATAAAGATTGACCATCATTTAAATTTTATGCTCGGTTGGCAAGTGGTATAATTATATTGAATTAGTATTTTGTATGGAAGTCAAAATACTGCTTTGTTTACGTTTTGCTACTTTTACAACACATAACGGAATATTCATCGTTCCTTTCTTTTTGTTTTTCTCTCAAGTTACTAGGTTTATGCAGAAAGTTTATGGAGGAAGCAAAACTTATTGAGTCTCTTCCTGAATATTTGAAAAAAAAAATGAAAAATGAAAATCATTATATCAAAATGACGTGTAAGACTGCACACAAGGGGTTCAATCAATCCTATACCAGTGTTGCGTTAATGTTGTTTTGTTTTATCTGTTTTGTTCTGCAAAATTTTTCATACAAATAAAATTTACGATATAAGATGCATTACAATAAAACCTTTTCTAGCTTACCAGTGTGAGTTAATTTTTTTGCCACTACATAAAAACGTGGACCAACTACAGATTCAACAGAAGCATTTTAATTTTGTGTTTTAAATTGCCAATGCACGCAATGATTCCATTTTCTAATTTCGTTGTTTTAAAATCCCTTTCTGAATGATTCAATTACGAAGCAAATAAAATAGCGAATTGAAAATTCAGTTTCCCTGAATTGTCTGCTCAAGAGCGTTATGAGCGTTAAGAGTGGCGGCGTGGCCAAGCGGGTAACGCGCCGCACAAGTAATCGACCGCGTTGGTTTAAACCCTCTAAGGGGCAAGCTGTTGTTTCCTTGAGCAAGAAATTTTACATTCATTGCTTAGTACTGGTTGGTTCCAGGAACGGATTCGAGAGTGTTTCAATAAGCTTATAGCTTCCAACACAATCGAACTAAAATAACTTTGTATAAACTAAGAGCATTATCTGAATCAACAATCAATATATGTTCTTTTCTGTCACGTTGTACCGTCGTTGTATGAAACTGAAGTCGATCATTATCAAAAGAAAAGGTGTTTTCTTTCTTTTTAAAAGAAAGGTAATCCAAGTCCAATAAAATGGTTCCGTGATCTCGTGTCAAACCAACAATATTTTCTTTTCTAAAATCAAAAGTAATATAAGTTATCATTGATTTTTTTATATATATTATTGAACACCCTTTCATTTTGGAAACGTTATATTTTTATTATTGTATGACATTGCACTTTTAAATATTCCAGTTCATAATCAAGAAACCGAAAAATGTTCCTTCAATGCATTATTTCAGACACAATAAGGGGAAAAATCCTCTTTTTTTCAATTTCCAAAGATTGACGTACTTATTAGTGTAAGGGGAAGAACTCTGGATTGAATATCACATGTTTATAGAGGCGCATGTAAAAGCTCCCTTCTGTAGATTTAAAAGAACTATAATTGCAGAGTAAAAAGTGTTATTCTTGTGTATGCAATCTCAATACATATACAAACAATCTAAATTATATTTTACAAAACAATGATTTTAATAAAGTAAAATTTTGCAATATAGAGTTTTGCTTATATGTCAAAAAAACATAATATTACATGGCTTTTGGAAATTTTTTCACGGCCATATTGAATATTTAAATTTTGCTTAGATTTCCTTAATTTGTCTGAACTGAACTTTCTTTGTGAGAAATGCCAGGTCGTTTCTATCTTTAAAAGTATTATTTTTATTTATTACATGTTTTGTAGTAGATTACTGAATTATAACGATTAATTATATTCTGATAATTTCACAGTAATGATTACCAAATATAATTTCACAGTAGCCGAACTATGTTTGGCGTAAAAATAAAATATTTATCATTAATGAATGTTTTTTTCAGCGGAAATGTAGTCAATCATAATAAAAAATGTACGTGATAACTGTTGTTCGTAAATATTTACGAACGTTGTGCTGAAAAACATCTAAAATCTAAAAATAATCATGGAATTATATTTTGCTTCAACATTGTGACGTCATTATTTGATGACGTCATGAAGATAAGAGCATGACGTTACGCGGCAAAAAGCAGTAAAATGGTGTAAAAATCGTTAAAAAATCATGAAATAAACAGAAAATTTGTTTGTTTTACATGTAAGATCGAAAAATATTTCACCGAGTGAACACCAGATGCAATATTTTCCACGAGTGGCGTAGCCACGAGTGAAAATATAATAGCTGGGTTCACGAGTGAAATATTATCTTTAAAAGTATTATTTTTATATATTTTTCATAATATGATGAACAACTATTGCGGCACTTTCAGTGGTCACTTTAAATGTCCATTTTAACGGTCAGGATCAAGTTTTTTTTTCAGTTTGGTATCCATCTTAAGTTTACCGAAGTCACTTGTACCCTAAATGTGTACAATAATTATTATAAGATACCACTTGTACTACAAAATGTCTCTAGCGTCTTATACTAGGCCAAATTCTCAAAGCAGTCTTGTAAATGCGACTAATTTAACAATACCATATCATCACTGCTAAAATCGTTTTACCTCCTGCTGAGCTATCTTGGACTGTAAAACCTAATTGCTTAAGGTAAACCTGTCAAATTTAGCAAAACCGTATCATATACTTGCTAAACTCATTTTTGTTCCTGTCTCCAATATTTTCGTAAAATGTCTTGAGCAATCCAGAGCCAGCTTTGTTGTACTGTTTTATACTCGGATGTGAACATTGTTTCGCCCCTATATGCATACATAATTATATGTAACAATTGCGGAGTCTCCCTACGCTTCCTATCCACACAGCACAATAATCCGTTATATTTGTATTTTGGTTATGCTTCTTTTGAGTTTATGACAGTCGATATACAAATATAATCACGTGACCACATTAAAACTCATATAAGTTACAATGACACATTCATGTCAAATGATATGAATTGTGAGAAAACGTATAATCAAAGGCTATAACTATTTTTATAATAAGTGTTGATTTGCCAACTGTACATGTGCGTTGCATATAACTTCACAATAAAAAAAGAAAAACAGGTTGTGTTAAATATTCAAATGAAAACGTATATTCATTTGACAAAATTTAGTTTCAGATTAAACAAAATATACGTGTTTAATTCTTTTTTGTAATTTAGCTATATTCCAGTGCTTTGTGTAATAAAAGTTTAATCATTTTTTGACAGTTGCTATTTGTATAAGATGTTTTTGTTATGATTTGTCAAATACAAACATTTGTTCTTGTTTTATGAACAGAATAGAAATAGAATTTCTATTATCTTCCGTATATGAAGGTTGTATTATTTACAAATAGAATGACAAAAAAGATGTACTAGTAAATGCTTAACACAGATTAAACCAATCAAACAGATCATACTTTCATAAATGAGCCGTGTCATGACAAAACCAACATAATGCGTTTGCGACCAGCATGGATCCAGACCAGCCTGCGCATCCGCGCAGTCTGATCAGGATCCATGCTGTTCGCTTACAAACCCTATTACAAGTAGAGAAACTGATAGCGAACAGCATTGATCATGATCAGACTGCGCAGAGGCGCAGGCTGGTCTGGATCCATGCTGGTCGCAAACCCACTATGTTGGTTTTGTCATGGCACGGCTCAAATAATATACTGATAGTTTTGTTTGAAATTTGAATAACATTCCACTTACACTTAACAAAATTATAATTAATTCAATTAACACAATATGGAGAATAAGCCAACATGTTTACAAAGCAATCAGTTACGTGCCAAATCATGAAACATTCCACATGAAATACAACAGATATAAAATGCGGTGTCATAAAATGTAAGACACAAATAAAGGTATCAAAATTCTTTGGCTTTGAAGCCCGTCATAGTTTTAGATGAAACAATTGATCTGCATGGTATGTTTTGTATCACAACTTTCTTCTTATTGGTCAAACGGACGTGTTCTTTGTGTTCAATTATGGAGACCAGCTCATTAAGTCAATATTTGTAACATAAACAAAACATTCCCCTTTCAATCCAGGCGTCATCTTCTTTTATGAGTTGTGGACAGGTTTTGTTTAAACAATTAAATGCCAATATTTGTTTTATATGCTTGTTAATTTTTTCAAAACTCTTTAAAAAAAAATTCAATGATATCATCGTCCCTTTGATGTGACAACCTGTATCAACGAGCCATAAATCTGCGTCAATTTTGGCTAATAAATAGTCTTACCGTGTATCTAACCGTGTATATAGTGTAAAATTTGCACAAACATACTAGACCATGTGTTTTTAATTGTAATATAAATACGGGTCTTTGCTGAAATTTAATCTCTTAGTTTGTAAAACTCTTTTCTTTTGACTAAAAAATGAATGTCATTGAAAGTTGTTGAGCGCAATCAAAACAAAAAATAATACCCTATTTGTTTGCAAAATAAGTCGACTAAATATATTTTATCGTCTATAACTTGTTGCGTTTCGTCTCTTAATATGTATATCAATGAATTTTCTACATTTTTATTTCACAGCTGTGTATTGAATTTCTATTTTACTTTCTACCGAATGCAATTCTCGACTGGACTCGAGAAAAATGGTTCAGGTTGTCGAATTAGGCTCATCGCCGCCTTAATGTTCAAGACCTATGTATCATAATATCCAAAGTGCATTTAATTCATGAATTAGCTTTAAAAGAGGACAGTAATAATGAACTGTACTTATGTTATATATTAGCATTTTTGAAGAAAACGTGAAACTATTATTTTTCTATTTGATCGATTAAATCATTTAGATTATTATTGAATTTGTTTTGCTGTACATAAGTATGTCTAGGACCTGATATTGTCATGTCATATTGTTCAGGTTTAATTAAATCTGTTCTGTCTTGATTATTATTGTACCGAATTCTGTCAGAAACAAATAAATGAAAAAGATGTCAATTAACCATTTAACTATAACTTAAGTTCAATAATATTTACGAGAAAGCAAAATTTAAGACCATTTGCTAAATCCGTTTTCCATAACAAACATTTTATAGTGCAAAATAACCATAAACAACCGAACTATGACTTTATTGCCTTATATATGCCTTATTTCATCAGGTTACAAATGTTATGATCGACGTAATATTCAATATTATTTGCTCTACTACTCTAGTCTAAATATATACATCTTCGACATTTAAACATATGTTTATGTTCTTTATTCAAAACAACCCGTTCGTATCAGATGTTGAAAGAAAAGGTTTTGCCATACATATCTGCTGTTTATTACGTGATACTTATTTTACCGGTATAATAAGTCATTAATTATACGTCTTTTGTGCCGTTCTATGAAAACTGAAGGTCAACATTTTCGAAATATATGTGTTCATAAAAAAACATGGGCTGGTTTATCCACCCCATTGAAACTCTTTCCTGCTCATAATAAACGCTTTTGAAAATGTATTGATTATTCGTCAATACGCAGTTAAATGGTTTTGGTTTCTTTGTGCGTATGTCATATGTCACTTCCTTGTATAAGCAATAAACAAACAAGTTACAAAAAAATCATAAAATTTAAACGCGACGAATGGTTTAAAACCATTTTTTTATTTTAAAAACTTATTAAACGACAACGAAAACAACGATTCATTGTCATTTCTCATTATTATCATTCATTCTGGTATTATGTGTACACTTAAACGGACCTCCACTATGACATTTCGGGACAGAAAATAATTTCTCGAGATTAATGTTCCATTGGATGAAGGTCTTGACCAGTAACTTGTGTTCAAAATTTCAAATCATAAGCTCTTTTTCTAATCATCGTATATGGAAAAACGACCCAATATTGAAATTTGTCGCAACGTTTACACTAAAATCGGGCTAAGATTAGCACAAAAATATTATTTTAAATTTATTCTTAAATACTTTTTGCATATCTTTCTGTTTTAAGTTTCCAAGATGATTTATGTAAGGAATACACATTCATATTTTAAGGGGCTTGGACCTCAGTGGAGTTTCTTTAATTAATGAAAGCCAAGCTAAATATTAACCAGAATAAATTATTCCGGTATGTACTAATTTAAAGTTTGACTCCTTGGTACATGTAACATATTGAAAGACATTGTCTTACATCCTTGGATAGAATAACGGTTTCGAAAGGAGTGGATCAAATTAGACTTTTTCATGGTAGCTAAAGGTAAGTATGATTAATCCCCTGACTGCATGTGTCAATATTTTGTTACACTGGATGTTTTGCGCAAATACAGGACCAGGGCTAGTGAACATGGCTCATTCGTGCCTAAAAATATTCAAAGTTTTTGGATAAAGTCCTTTTCGTACTATGATTGCAAAATATAGAATATGCTGTTTTTTTTTTTTTATCAAAGACACTTAAGCACGGTGTGTCGGCTGAACTGTGCGTTGGTAAATTCAATGTGACTTACTGCCGTGATCCAGAGTACCACCACGACACATAAACAATATCTTATTTAAAATTTAGTTTAGAAAATATTTAAGGTCTATTTCTTAAAACAACAGTGCTTTTAGTGCTTTTGTTTTCAGTTTTTAGTCCCATATTTGTATTGTATTAACAAGAATCTTCTTTATAAGTATGCGATATTTGTGTTATTTTTACATATCGTTTTATGTTTGTTATTCTTTTTTTCTTTCATTGTTTTTTCGTTTTTGCCTTTTTTTGCTTTTTTAATCAATAATTTATGATATTTTAGAATTCGTTACTTATATTTAATAAATTATACATCATTTATCAAATTCACAAATAATGGTCATATAGCCGGCAGCTTACTGTACTCAAATATTCAAAGCAAACAACTATAAAAGCGCTCGTATCGAGGATTCCGCGAAGGCTAATTTTGAAAATAAGCCATTGATCAATGCTTCAATTAAAAAGTTTATTTATATGCTAACGATTAAGTATAGGTTAGTGTTTAATGATACATATTAACAAAAATAATTGGTCAAGCCTGCCGCAGGCATCAATAGGATTCGAATCTTACTGATAGGGATTCTGCAGATAGTCATTAAAAACAACTGTTGGCTGAAATGTTAAATGCATGTTTATTTATTCTAATTCTTTCGTATCTAAATTTTCTAAATATTCATATGTTGATGTGCGCCAAAGAAGAACCCACATATTCATGCTGTTTGTGTGATAATTTAAGAAAAACAGAGTACATTTGATTAAGTGACTCAAACTACCACGAGACAATCAATTTTTACAAACAGAAATAACTCAAAGAATTAGTCTAGTTCCCGGGTATTAAGTTGGTTGAAATATCATGTTTCAGTAATAAACTTACAAACTTTATGTGTTGCTTTTGTTTCTTTTTTATTTAAAAATCTAAAATGTGTTTTCTTATCAAGACGCTTGAAGCTATTCACAACAAAAATGAATAATCGCAAAGTCACATCTTACGATGGAGGTATGAGTTTGTTTACTAAATATGAAGCACAAGCTTTAAAATCGAGATTTACAAATAAAGAAAGAAATAAAAAAATAGTAACTCGGGATAGACAGTGAGCCTTTTTGCAGGTGGCTTTATTCCTATAATGCAAGCAAGATTCAGGGAAAGCTACAAATGTAAAAAAAAGATATATATTATAAGCGATATTAAAATTCCTGGTATCGAAAGAAAATTGTTTTAAATAAAATACATGCTTTAAATAAAAGAAAATCCAAAATAAGTCAATCCATCGATTCTTTCAAAGGGGGAGGTGAGTTTATTTTTGTGTTTTTGTGTTAATCTGGAATTGCCTTGCCACGCAGCGAAGGCGGATTACCCATTTAAAAAAATAATTAGATGGTTTTAGTATCAAAGTTTATCAACTCTCTCATGTTACATTGTTATAGCATACATTTTTAGATAAAAGTTTAACGTACACCACACACTTTACTAACTCAACCTGGAAGTAAAATGAACCGAATTGCGCAGCTAAATAAAATAACATTAAAACGAAACAGTTCTTTGTCAAGTTACGCTAGTGAAATATGGAGAGGGTCTTCTTAATTTTAATTTTCCTTGGATTTGGTGTTACTCTTTCAACACAAAAAGCGGTAAGTTTTTTCTTTCTTTATTCTTCTGAATATCTAGTATTTTAATTGTCATCTTAGTATCACTAGATATGTAATTTCTTGATTTAAAAGAGGACAAAGGCGACTGGGAGCAGAACCCAAGCAGCAACTGTTTCAGTGCTTCATGTGCTCTTTTGTTAACAAATATGTTGCGGTAAAATTCTTATTCTATCCACTCAACTGATGATTAGAATAAGACGGGACAGGGATGTATGACTTATCCACTTTATAATGTAATATTTATAACCAGTATTAATTTCTTTATAAAACAGATGCCTTACAAAAAAAAAACATTTTCATTTTTTCTTTTGTAACTTTATACAAAATATTAATACTATAGAAGATTTGTACAATTAATACGCTTGTCCCGTTCGCTCAACATGCCAGATAATCAATCTTTTTTGTTATAGGTATATCATTTATAATATAATATTCATGGACGTATTTTCACTAGATATAGCAAATGTTAAATTTTCGTGCTCTAAAACTGTCCTGTTATTGTTGTTGTTGTTGTTGTTGTTGATGATGATGATGTTTACGATGTTGCTAACCATACAAAACATTGTGTTGACTTTCTAAACATAGTGCGATAATTAGAAAAAAAATGATTGTTAAAACATATATGATTATAGTAAGCAATATAGATTGAACAATTCGTGAAACTAACCGGAAATTGTTAAGATATGTAAGGTAAAGCCATTACAGAATCCCCTCGTAATACTACCGCCATGTCCTGACCTGTATTTAGGGTCCCATTTGTCTCATGTGAAATAAGACAAATGCGACCGCATCGGTCTTACGTAAGACAAATATGCTCCGAGACAAGATGTGCTCCTACAATGCGTTCACTGAAAACAACAACAACAAAATCGCCTAAACAAACAAATTAAGAAATAAATAAACAATATTAACACTATCGGAATTTTTTCTATATAAACAAAGAAGGCTCGATGCGTACATTATTCTACAACAATGCACTCGCCCTTATTATTTTCCTGTGTATTTTCACATTGAGGGCGCCAATTTGTTTGAAAAATCTGATAAATAAAAACAATTTTTTGTCGAGTTTTGTTGTGAACACTATATAGAATGAAAGAAATTGGTCTTACTAAGAACATGAATCCGAACCAATATTTTTAATTCAGTCGTTAACGCTGTACAGACGTTTAAAGTGTTGTTTACATGACGTCACAATGTAGCGCCAAACAGCACGTGCAAAACAATCAAATCAAGTACGCTATTTTAATGTAGCAAACGAGTTAAGATTTACATTTATTTCACTTTTAATAATTTGTATTTCGCTTGGAAAATTATAGACTGGAATAAAATAAACAAACAAAGTTTTATCAACGTTTTCAAAATTCGTTATTCTATACACGGTAGATTTAACGACAGTTTTTCAACCCACTGGAACGGCCTTTAAGAACGTTTCTATTGAAAACTCTGAGACGAAAACAAATTTAACCACCAAACATAAAGTCCAACTTTATAATAATAATTATATTTTTTCTTGACGTGTTAGAATGGAAATAGATATAAATTCTTCATGCATTATTGTATAATAATGCACGTTTTTCGTTCAAATGCTTTGTAATTAATCACTCAGGCCTATCGGCCTTCGTGATTATATTACTACGCATTTGTACTCAAACCGTACATTATTCTACAACCAATGCACTCAGAATTGATATCTATTTCCTAAATAAAAACTTCTTCTTCTTCAGAGATTTCATGCAGAATTTACACAACAGAAATGTTTTATTGACGAAATTGAAAGCTTGATAAACATAGATTACTGTTCGGAATTAGATGTTAGTGATAATACGGTCAGGCACCAGGGAGTGTGCACAGCAAAAAATGGCAAAGTTGTGTATACCTGCCAACACGGTCATTGGTCGGAAACTGACAGCTCTGTCGGTATGATATAAATTCAAATTAAAGAAATATTCTCAGAAAACAAATGATAAATAACTCATTCCAAAAGAGAATTTAGATTTTGGAAGAATGTAAAAATAAACTGACACATCTTTTATTACATATTTTTCGTATTATGACAATCCTTTGTAAACTGAACGATATTCCTAAGAAAGTAATACTTACATTTGTATAATTTCTGCTTAAATGGAATTATTTTCAACAAAATCTACAAGACTTTTATAAAACTAAAGGAATGTTTCATTAACCGTTTTGTAAATTTCAAATGATATATATATTAGTCGCAAAGTAAAAGATATTATTCTTATATGTGAACATTTTCTTTCAACAGCATCGTTGCACAGAAAGAAGCGCTTCTTTAGAAGACTTTTTCGAGCTGTATACTGCTTCTTCTTCTGTAAGTCGAAATATGTATTAATACACTTGATGAATGATTGATACAGAAATAATGAAACGGCTTTTTTTAAACAACGATACTAACTTAATAGACTATTCATACTAAGCTACTTATGTAATAAGGCTGACAGGTTTATAGACAATAAAAACGCTACAATGTGTGTTAAGTTTTAGCTCCAATTTTCGAAGAAAGAAAGCCGTTGACATGCACTTTAAACCTTGTTTTACATGGTTATTGTAATTAAAGTAATTTAAAACGGACGGATATACTTCAATTATTTTATGAAAAGTTATGCCGTTTTCCAACCATTGTTAATCGTTTTGTTAATGGTTTCATTATCTTAGAAACTATTCCTACTACGTGTTCATTATCAAAATATAATACTATATCTGAAGCATAGGATTTTGAGTCAATGGTCAACTATGCAAACACGATCAAGGTTAATCACTAAACTTGGAATACCCTTTTGTCTATTTTATATTTAAATCTTTTTCTAGGGGGCATTAAACGTTTAATTCATTTTTTCAAGTTATGTCCCCAATTGTAAATTTTTATTTCTTAGTTAAAACATATATTCACGTTATACTTGGGTAATTAAATTTGAAATGACAATTCCGAAAGCAACATTTGATTTATTATCTTCATTCTTTTTCCCAAACACAAATGTTATTCATTTTGATAAACCAAATAAATATTATATACGAAATTATGAAAGAATTCTGTACCAAAAGGTGATGTAGTATCTTCTGGGTAATTTGATATTGATAACCGTGCGTATAAAGTTCAGGTAAATAAATACCTACTTTTTTGTCAGCGAAAACAGAAAAATAAAAACAAATGAAGAACATGATATACAGAAAAAATATTTAGAACACAGCAATATTTCAATTGTACGACTTGTAATGGTTAAAATTTCTCGAAAGCAGAACTCAAGCACATCCGCCTCTTAAGATGACAATTCACCCACTCATTCGGCACACATTGTGACCAAGTTTTTGGTTTCTGAGAAAGTCCCCGTCCTCCCTTATCCTCCTTTCCCGTCTGATTTGGCCCCATGTTAGCTTTTTATATTACCAAAACTGAAAAAGTCCCTGTATGAAAAGAGTTACAATTCCAGAAATGCCATTGGGTTTGCAATTTATCATTATCTAAGGATTCAGGGTAAGAACTATGCTTAAAAAGTGGTTTGACGGACTGGAAAGGTCTATTAAGGCGATAAGCGCGAGTATTGTGACTTGAAGAGCAAGTTACAATGGTCAGAACTTAAGTTTTAATTTAAGACAGAAAGTGATATTATTTTAAAGTCATTTACATTAAACAAACTTGATCGTGACAATATTTGAGAATTTTGCTATAGGCACAATTTTAGAAAGAAATGAAATAAAGTCATGATGTGTGTTTACAAATCAAGTCGCTCGATGAAAATAATAACAAGTGCAGATTCATTGTTAACTATATCGATTAAAGTGAAGCATTTAAACTTTAAAGCTCGTTTTAATTTCTTTCATATGAATTAATGGTGTACTAAATTTATGTTGAAAAAAGATTAAACCTACCATACGAAAACGGAAGTTAACTACTAGGTGGACGTTATTCAATCGGTTAGAGTATTTACATTTTCACATTTGTTATATTATATTGAAGTTCAGAAAAAATCCTTAAAGTAATACAAATAAAAACTTCGTACAATACAGTTATTGTTTACCGACATCAAAAATATCGTCTGAACAACTGTATCGCCATATAACATGTATAAGACGGTGAAAAAAGACTGAAAAATGTTAATAATATATATCCTTTATTTAGATTTACACAAAATATGTATAGTTATCTAAATTGAATAATGAAAATGTTTAATTAAATATAAGTTAACCTCTGTCAGTCCTCAAGTATATTATTTTAACATGTTACATATTAAGAAACATATTTATAAACCGGTACCATTGGCCATGTGGTTAAGACATCCGCCTTCGGATAGGGAGGTCGAAGGTGAAAGCCCCACGGGGAGCGTTAATTGAGTGGGACTCGTTCCGAAATGGCAGCTTCGTGAGCTGCAAGGTTGTTAAAATGAATGGTTATCGATTTCTATCCGGAAAAGGGAGTTGGGAGGTACAAGGTATGCAAGCAAAAGGTGTCTCATAAGTCAGAAATGGCTGGTCGTTTCAATAGGGGTTCACTATAATAAACAAGATCTTTTACCTTAACCTTTTATAAACTTCCGGTACAACGTAACTTCAAGCACTTGCTAAAACAAGGCGTTCAATTTTAATGTTATTTATAGAATATATGGAAAACCAACGAACAATTTCGACCCAAGCGAAGTTATTTCCTCATCATTTTTTCTAGGCTTATATAAAAACAACAATCCATTAATTGTCTCTAGCATTTAATTCCGTAGTTGATAAATCACGTGTTTTTCTTTTTTTTAAAGTTATAAGTCAATAGTTCATTAACGGAATCACAACAAAATAAATGCAAATTAAACTTATTTAAACGAGTAAACTTGGATTTAAACAAATGGTCAAACTAAAAGTTGGTAATAATTTAAATGAAAGCTTTTAAGGATGATTGCCTCGAGTCAAAATATATATTTAACATTATAGAGCCCTGACAATTTGATTTTAATTATGTAGGCCTTATATAATTGTTAGGGAATTTATAGTTATAGTTTACTTTACTATAGTAAATTAGATTAGATTAAGATACTCCCTTTTCCCTGATAGTTCAATGCCCTCATTGTAATTATTTATTGATTTACAACTAAGTTGAAGTTAAAATTGTTTGAAAAATAAATAACGAATGCATACTTACTTCATGTTACAAATCAAATGCACAACGTTCTACAATATTGTTGTAATCGCCTTGTATCGGCGTGTTGACACTATTTTCACGATTTTTTATCATTTATTTTTTCATCGTTTAAGGTAAAAGAGGTGGTGGGGGCGGTGGAACTACAATCAAGTACCCACCTTCTTTTCCTGATCCATGCAAACCAAACGATATCCAAAGTAATTACAATATTGATGCCGGAGATGACAGTGTTGTCGTTAGATGGACCGTGCCAAAAGCCTCGGATAGAGACGGAGGCACTCCGAGGTTACATATTTATTTTTTCATCATGAGTGCATTG